CCATTTTCTTTTACCCTTGTAAATTTATAGCGAGTAATTATGACACGATTGAAACAATATCTTCTTTGAAAATATTAATAGGCATTATTTAAAAAACTTATATCTTTAATGTAGATTAGACAACACAATTATTATTTTTCTTATTGTGCTAATAAGTCATTTCAATTAATCTCTATAATTTATTTGATCAAAACAATAGTGGGTTTTTTTACAATAACAATAGTGCTTGTTATAAAACAAACTTATTTAATTAACTTATAAATGTTTTTCATATATTAGTTGAAGTGCCATTGAGCATTTGACTTATAGCATATAATTTATTATATATATTTGTTCATTCATATCTTCAATACTTTAGTAAAATTTCTCACTATCCATCTCTCTTTTCATTTTTATTTTTTGCCGTAAACCATCTCCTTTAATGATGTATATTATTTATTTTAGTTATTACTTTCTAATAAAATATTTGATTCTTAAACAAAAAGAAATAAGAGTTTAGACTTAACTTAAAAGTTCAAATTATAGCTATTTTAAATATTTTATATTTACAAAATAATAAAATTAATATATGAATTTTTTATATTATTTTATATTTTTTCAGACTAAATATTTTTGACGATGATAATCTTATTTGAACCAAATAGTAATAGAGTATATATATATATATATATATATATATATATAATTAATGTAATTGTATATTCAAAATTTGGACTTGATTTATTAACTATTATAATGATTAATTTTATCAAATATTTTTAATTCAATAAACTAGTTATCTTAATAATTTTTAAATTCTAAAAAAAATAACTTTTTTAGCTAATAATTAAATAAGTTTTTAACTTTTAACTAAATTATAAGTTATTTATGTTGAGAAATCTCATTTTTTTTTTCTTTCTAAGCTTATTATTTTATCTTCTTTATTCTTTTTTTTTTCTTCCTTTTTCATATGTATTTTATATACATTATTTTTTTGTGTGTTTTGTTTGTTTCACATGCAAGTAATTAATGTTTTTTAAGGACCGATAGCAGTACTTAATTTTATATCGATCTCTATTTTATTGGCTAAAATTTATTAGATAATGTAAAATTTGGTGAATTTTTCATCTCATTTATTGGGTCTTTCTTGATTTAGACTAGTTGAAAACTTATAAATTATAAATTGAGAGTTGAAAAAGGCAAAAAGTTTATATAAGTTAGTTAATTAAATTAAAAATATTTGATAAGATTAACAAATAAGTTAATTAATAAATGTAAAATGACATAAAATAATTTTTCTAATAACAATACGAGAATGACATGATAGACAAAATAGTTAATAAATTTAAAAGATTGAATTTTTTTAAGTAAATTACTGAACTATAAAGGAAAAAAAATTTAAAGTTTATAAGTTGTAAGATACTTCAATTAATTTATAAACTCTTGTACCAATCAAATTTATTTTAACAAACTAACTTATAAGTTAAATAAAGGAATTTATAAATTCTTGAAATGTCTTATAAATACAATTTTAGTTATAAGACCTACTAAATTTTAATTTAGCTATAAAATTCACTAAAATTTATAATTTTTATTCGGTCAATAGTAGAGTGTTTGAGATAATACCAAGAAAAATATTGTTACTTATGTGTTTTTTCAACATTTTCTTCACTATTTGTTTAAAGTCCAAAGTCATTTAGCTCCACTTTTTTAGCAAGGGCTATGTTGATATGCTTTATTATTTTTACTATATGTTCGCTCCAAATGAGTGAAATACCATACAACATTCGAATTTAAAATCAGATTACTGCTAACTTTACATATAAAGGATATGGGGATTCCATGTTTTTATCAAATATATTATTTCTTCATCCTAAATTTTATTGTAAAAACTCATGTTAATAAAAACCCTTCATAAATAGTATTTAAAATCGATTCATTCAATATTTAATCAATTTCATTTATTTTACGAATAAACTAGCTTAACTTAGTTTTAGACTCTATTATGTTAACGAGTCAAGACTATAACTTGATGTTAACATATTTGAGAGCTCTTGTGAATATGTAACGATAAAAAAAATGTTATATATATATATAATGTTATAGTTTCCTCTTTGAAATATTATTACATATTTTTTATGTTTGAATATAAGTTTATTCTCTTTCTCGCTCTTTTTCTTATCTCATCTTTAATATAAAAATATTTGTTAAACATTAAATTAATAAAAAAAAAACTTTAAAAAATACTTGATATATTTGATAAATAAAAAGAAAATAATGATAAAATTATAAAAATGATATAAATAAACTAAACTAAAACTTTGTATTTTTCAACAAATTAACGTTAAAATTTAAATTTGTCTCATTTAAATGAATAAGATGATTTAATAATTTTTTTCAAAGGCAACATTAAAATATTAAGGGAATCTTTTTAGATTCTAACCAAAAGACGAAGAACTGTTGTTAACGTGTGTACTGATTGAAAGTTTCCAAATCAAGTATTCATGTGAACGACCAGAGTACATGATGAAATTACAAAGCGTCGCCATATCATGCTTGAATTTTTAGAACCTCAGAACCATATTTAATACAAATATTATATAATAAAAATAAAGGTTAATGGTGATATATTGTGAATATAAATTTATTTACATAATCAACTAATAAAAAATTATGAATTATATATAATTTCTAAAATAATTATTAATTATAAAAATAAGCAAATATTATCATTTATGTAAATTTTTTCTCATTAATCTATCAATCACATCATTTATTTTATCTCTTTTTTTTTTCCTCTTCTTGTTTCTCGTATTTGAAAAAAAAATTGTAAAGCTAAAAACTTACTATTTAATATATAAATGATTATGTGCTAAATTTATTTGGATTTAATATTAGATCGTCAAATATCTTACGCACGGCATGAATATTTTTAAATTTAAATAAAAATTAAGAAATATAATTTTTACATTTCTATCTATCACCTTCGGTAAATTAATTAAACATGATTAAAAAAAATCTCATTAAAATTGATTAGATATGTTTTTCAATAAAAATTAACCACCAGCAAAATTATTATAAATGTTCTATGTTAATAGCTATAAAAAAACATTAGTCACCAAAAGTGACTAAACAAATTTTTTAATAATTAATCTTCAACAAAATCAATAAATACTCTATATAATTTACATAGTTATAAAAAAAATATTTAAATGTGTAGTAAACTTAAAAGCAATTCTTAAAACAAAGTGATAAATATTTTTTTTTAAATAAAAAAATTACAAAGATATAATGAGAATTGATCGTAGGTTCCCATGTTTCTAATTATTTCAATCCATTCCCACTCAAGCAATGGGCTAAGACAAAGTAAATATAGTTTAAAGGTTTGTATACATTTTTAAGAAAATGTAATATGGAAAAGAAGAAATCGGAAATTGTGATGTATTTTGATTGAACGAGCAGAATGTAGAATGTAGGGCATCAGCTGTCCATCGACTAGTTAATTGAAAGCAATCGAATAATATAGTTGCTGCACTTGGACGTGATGTAATGGAAACACATCCAGTGCACACGGTTGAAACTTTATTGGCAAAAATTCAAATACTACATCAACTAGAGATTAGACAATTAAATAGTATATAAGTGAAAAGTAACTCTCACCTTATAAGTCAGGCTTAATTCACTATTCTAAAATGGTATCAGAGCTATCTTAGATCCTTAAGAAATGGGTCGTCCACCATTGATACATGCACCATAAATATGAGGGGGTGTATTGAGAAAAACTCAAGTCCCACCAATCTTAGATCATTAAAAAAGGTCACCCACCATTTATCCACGTACCAAGCCCTATTCCACCATTACTCGAGTCCTGCCAATCCTAGATCATTAAAAAGGATTACCCACCATTTATCCACGTACCAAGCCCAATAGTGCTGGACGTGAGGGGGTGTATTAGGAAAAACTCAAGTCTCACATCGACTAGAGATTAGGCAATTGAATAGTATATAAGTGGAAAGTAACCCTCATCTTACAAGCCAGTTTTATAGGATTGAGTCAAGTCTATATTCACTATTCTAATAAACTTGTCACACTTGTTGAAGCACCAACTCTTCAACTTTATGTGTACCAAATTACGAATGGTCTGCTTCTTCATCTTGTAAACCATGAATTTGACATCAACAAAGATTGTCTTTTAAAAAGATGCACACAATTAATTCACTTCCTAGTTCTTTGTACGAATTTTCAACTTCGTGACAATAACGTTATTTACCATTCTCTTAAAATTCAATTCTAACTCCCAAAATAAAGACCAATTATTCTTTTATGTCCAACATAAGAAGCCGGTGATACAGACGGCCATAGACTCGATGAATTTTCTGGTGAAGCACCAGAGATAGCGATTATTTTCAAGAACATCAATACAATGAATCTGATATATAGCTAGTTATTCAGATATATAGATCTTACATCTCAATTAGATTTTTTTATTATGATGAATTTTCCTTTTTCTTTATTAAGCACTTGTTGGGGTTGGTTTCGGGGAGCGGATTGTGGCAAAACCAAGGAAAATGATACATTTTCGTTTTTCCAGAATCAACAAGGAATTGCTTATCAGGAACTATGAACGACTTTCTGAAGAAGACATTATTACTTTGTGTCAATAATTAAATGCACATACAACTTTTAAGGAACTTATTTATTGCATAGGAATCTTTAATTTCCCACCAATAATACCATGTGAAATGCTTTGAGAAACTGTATTCAGAACTGCATGTAAGAGTGCAGAAACCGAAGGAAAGTGTGTAAAGTGACACTTACTGCATAAAATCACAAGGAAACTGGACCTGTATATATATATGTATATATACGGTCAGCGATAATGCAACATGATTCTATAATTATACCATTATAGGTTCAAGTTTTTGATTGCGAGTCTTCTGCTCTTTCATATTATGTATTTATATTAACAATCAATGTGGCACGGAAATCCCTAAAACTTCGCATGGAATTCTTGGTCCATGGAAAATCATATATACTGGAATAAGTTTCTGATGTGAGTTAGGTACACTACTGTCCTTGAATTTCTAATGTCTCTTGTGTCTTAAAAATGTCTGAGATTTCAATAATAGATATACTGCCATTCTTACAGTACAAAAAACGTACAAAGTAAACAATAAAGATAGCCACAGTCACCAATATAGTAACCTATGTAACCTGAAATAAAGCTTCCTTTACCTTCTAAAGAAAAAAATGGCACTCGCACGTCCTGATCTTCTAAAAAGTGTCACTTCAAATTGTTACTCGATGGACTCCCCCCCACACCCCTAACTAGCCACTAGCTAGCCCCTCTCTCTGGGGCATTGTTTTCTACATTCATAATCAGAAATTAATTCAGAATGGTTCATATTAATTATATTCATCATATCATATCATATGACTCAAGGAAGCAAAGATGCCACAGATGATAGTTTTTTCAATATTATAATTTCAAAGCCTTAATGACAAGTCAAGTTGGCCAATATCCTCCTGAACATGTTCAGAAGTAGTATAACCCCTTGACCAGGAAGCCACCCCTTCCTTGGGACCATAACTAAACTCTTTTCTTCCACCAAGCCTCACATAACTTTGTCCTTGCAATTGGTTATCCACAACCCCAAGAGCACGACCAAGATGGTGTGAATGTGAAGCACTGAAGTTTGATCGCTGCTCTTGTGCTCCATAAGATTGCATGGATGATGAACTCAGTTCCCTGCTCTTCTTGGCCAGTGTCCTTTCAAGCTTGTGAGCATTTTGGTGGCCTCCTAAAGCTTGAGAGCTATAGAACTTTCTCTGGCAATAGTTGCATGAGAATATCCTTGGCTCAATGGGACTAAGAGATGAAGGAGAAGATGATGAAGAAGAAGAAGGCTCAAGAAAAAGATCTAGACTCAGATGATTCTCATTATCTGGTTGGCTTAGGTGAAGAGAAGTATTGGGATGGAAACTCATGGCTATCTAAAAATGGAAGAAAGAAATTAAGATGGTGTAGAAGCTAGTAGCAGTGGTTCAAACTTCAAAGTGTAGTGTGGGAAAGAAAGCAATAGAGAGCAAAGGATATAGGCTGCGAAGTGGGGGTGAGAGGATGATCTTTATGTAATATAAGAGGCTGAAAGGTTCACTGTTCCTGCAGACACAAATAGTAGTATATTATATTAAGTGAAAGAGTGAGGGTATTGAGTAAGATAGAGGGACATGTATCTGCAAGATCAATGGAGAATCAAAGAGGTTGTCGCCTTCATTAATGGCAGAGTTTGGATCCTTTGTCGGTCGATGGCCAAAAAATAATGCCATGGGGTACCCCCCACCATGAAGAGTAATCAGGTTTATTTGTATTTTAACTTTGTTTCTGTCTTTGAAAATGAGTGAACATTCTCAATTTAAGCATATAATCAGAAATTCTAGCCAGCATTGTTGTGACCCCTTGTCAACAACGAGTTTAAACTCAAATCATGCAGTGTTCCATCAATGTTCCAATTTTGGAATTGCAAAATGAGCAAGATAAACCAACTTGACTAGACTAAACTATGAACATGATTGGAGACTATTTTTACAATTTGTCTTAAATCAAGGGCGTGCTACACCTATCATATGCTCCACTATATATCTGTCCATAGAGGATTGGACAGTTCCTGTTTTAACGAAATCGGCGGCTTAGATTAATTAATTAATATTGAGGCATTGTGATCATAGCCTCATAGACCTCGTATGAGTTACGAGTCTATATGTAGAATTGTCAAGTAATAGATACAGCATCAATGTTTATCTGTCTCTCCATGTATATATGTACATATAATAAGTACAAAGACTTACTCAATTTGGTTGTATTCAGTCAATAATGGCAGACCTACCATTAATCCATATTTTCTGTTCATGTTAATTGAACTTGCGTGATGTGCGTTATTACCATTGGAACCTAACACGAAGCTAACAATGACTTGCCAATTAACAGATATATACCCCTCCCCCGGTCCCCCAAAATATAAAATTTGAAAGGGTGATGTACATATTTATATATTTGCTGATTAAAAAATTAATGAAATAAACTTTAACCGTATATCCTCACTTTGAAAAGAATCAAATAAATTTTTTATATGTAGTTAATTTCGTACCGGTCCTTTGAATCCATCTCTGTAATCGTCCGAGACGTTACAGCACTACTTCTATTACTGCCAACAGTTACAGACCTGACTGAATTGAATCTGTATATTGATGACTTTGCCTTCAATTTCATCAACTTTAGTCAGTGCCAGAAAGGAGAAACAGATAGTTCTAGCTCTGTACTCTGGCTATGGCACGATCCCATTATTAATTAGGACCAAACTTACTCTTCTTTCTCTCTCCTTGGTGATTTTACAAATTTGTTGACTGGACCAAGCACATGGGAGATGGAATTATAAAATGGGATATTATATTTATATGGTTTCTTTATACAAAAATTTGTATAACAAAGAGAAAAGTGTGTGATAAGATGATATATGATAGAGAGAAACAAAGAAAAAATAGTAGTATAATAAAAACTATTGTATAAATAATAACATATTTGTTGCGTAGCAGACAAATTAATTAAATTCGAACCGTGCTTCCACAGAGGTATTTGTTATAGCACAAAATACCCATCACGGAATAGGGTTGAATAAGTTAATGATAAACCATGATTGAGAGATCATAATCTTGTCATCGGCTATCATTGCGGTGAGGTTTGTCTGTAAATCGCAGACACAGAATGAACCAAGAAACTACGTCCTGTTGCCGTATCAGTAACTTGGTCTTAAGATTCCGAAGCTAAGTAAACATTAATTCTTGTGCAAAACTAAACAATATCCACTCAGTCAAATGGGATGTTTCCCTTTGTACTTGAACAAACCTACATTAATATTAACTAGGTTCCATGTATATGCAGCCTAATGTTAATTAAACTCGGAAGAAAATAAAATTATGAGGTCTTGTCTGGTAGACATGTTACGGAATTGCACTAATCTCTGCAACTTCAGTTGTTTTAATTAAGACGCAATTCCAAGACCTTGATAAGAAACCACTGTTATTGGGATGGTATATATTATGCCAAAAAAAGGTACAAATACTTGTGATAATTGTTTTGGTAATTTATTGTATCTGTTATGTTTTGCATTCTAGACTGATTTTACTGGTAGATGTAGAATCACTCGATACTTTTAAGATCAAATTTATAATCTACGACCAATTTAGAAGGTCTCATTTCAAAATTATTTACATCAAAATCAATATAAAAATTTTATTTAAAATAAATAATACCGTGATGCGTTACATTTAATAACTTTTTTTTTATAATGTTTTTCATACTTAGTTTATATTAATTTATTGTTGATTTAGGATTAAATTCATACATATTTTTTGGAACTTTGTTAAGTTTTTGTGTGCTTTTGTGACTAGATATTTTTTCTGTAGTTGATTCTAATCAAGGGACTAAGAGTTTTCAAAACTTAGAAAAACCTTAGACCGGAGATTCGAATGAAATAATTCATTTGTTTGAAGAATTTTAAATTTTTTATATGAAATATTTTGTTTGGATAGAGAATTTACAAGAATTTGAAATCTAAATATTTATGAAATTTTTTAAGATAGTAGAATTTTAAATTTTGTCAAAAAAGTAAGAATTTAAAATTTTTATATATTTTTTTTCTTATTTTACATATATATTTTTATCTTATCTCTTATTTTTTCATGTTTTTAATTATTGAATATTTAAAAATATTTTAAAGTTATTAAATATTATCTAATATTAATTTTTAAAATTTTTAAATATTTAAAAATGGATTAATATTTATTTTTATAAAATTTAATTTTAAAATCTCAACATATAAATATGTTTTTAAAATCAATTTTATTATGGTGAAATCAAATTATCATATTCAAATCTATTATCATATCCAATTTAACAATTTAAAACTTTAAAAATTTAAATTGATGTATCTTAACAAAATATTTTAAGAATGGTAAAAATTGGAATTAAATAACTAAATTTTTATTTATATATATATATATATTTTTTTTCTTTTATATATTTTTCTTTACAATCAAATAACTAAATTTTTATTTACTTTCTATTTATTTTCATTCGCTTATTTTTCTTTCTTCTATTTCTTTCCATTTTATTTTCTGCTTATTTATTTTCTCTCTAGCGATCACAAGCTACACGAAGCTCTTTTGCGTGCCAATTTTGTTGGAACATTGATATCTTGTTTGATCTCTTTCGTTGAGTTTCTTCTTTTATATATTGGATTTTGGCCCATTTGGTTTATTAAAAATAAATCCCCAATAATATGACTATATATACTTTATGTAGTAAAATAGCATTATATCAACCTCTAAATTTTAAATTCTGAATTTGGTGCGGCCATTCCTCCAGTAAAAAGGAAAAAAATAAATAAAATAAAAAAAAAGTCTAACGACAATATTGAAGTCGTACATGTCTTAAGGCCGATACTTAAGTTAAGGCCCACAGTCATCTCATATCCTTAATTGTTTTTTTAATATTTTAATATAATTAAGATTTATAATACTATTTAAAATTAAAATGTTAATAAAATTATGCAATTTCAAAATAAGATTCTGTAGTTGTAAATTATTTAAGAAGTTTGATTACTCATTTCAAAAGTTACAAAGAAAATTGTTTTACATTTGCTCGGAATTCGAAAAAACAAAAAGTTGACATTGAAATGAATTAGAGCTTAAATTTCATTAAAAAAAACTATATGATCCATAAAATAATATTTTGATGAAAAAGATAATGATAAGATGGACAACTGCATTCAATTAAGAATTAGCTCCTTCGTTACATAAAATAAAAAAAAAATCTTTTAATTTTGATTATTTTGTACGCATATTAAATCAATTTATTCTCTTTTTTATTGAGAGAGTTTATTTGAACAAATTCTAGAATATGAAAATAGTTTTGTTTTCTATATGAATTTCGATAATTGAAATTTTTTAAGAGGTTGAATCGAAAATTTCGAATCAACCTTCAAATAAATTTAAGTTTATGAAAATTAATTAATTTCGGCCTTGATGTTTTTTTTTTCTTTTTTACTTCAAAAATTGAAAATATAAAAACAAATACTAACAAAAGAAATTAATGACCTAGTTTATATATTAAAAAATATATATTTAATATATAATAAATTATGTTGCAAGATAATGATCAAATAGATTAACATATATAGTTGGAGATGTTAAAAATATTTAAGTGTTAAATATGTTTTTAATCCTCTAAAAATTGGCTCTATTTAGTTTTAATTTTTTTAAAAATAATTATTGATTTTATAGTCTCTAAATTTATGTGATATCTATTTTAATATTTTTTAAAATACTATTAATTTTTATTGTTAAATAAGTTATCTTAACATCTAAATTATCATTAGTTTTATTTATATAATTTTTTTAATTTAAAATATTAATTATTTTAGAGTTAAGTTAAGATTTAGGATAAAAATTAATTTTATACTTCAAATCATTTACTATTCACTCTCGAATCCAAATATGGAGATTTCAAAAGTACTCTATTTTGTTTTTTGTTTACTTATTTTGCTTTCACTCTCAACAAAGGAAGTTAATAACCTCTCATTTATAAAAGGTAGTACCTTGAAGCTTGAGAACAGAAAAGAATGGATGTTGTTAAGAATAATTAGCACATTAAGGATTTCAAGAACCGCTTGAGATGAAACAGTGTTGTTGAAAATTGAAAATTTAAAGCTCAGAACATTCCTGTCAAAGGTGTAAAATTGAACATTTTTGAACACGGTGATAATGGTGGAGAGAAAAAAAAACTTGCTTTGAGTTTGTAAAAATATTTTATTATAATTTAGTAGGAGACTCTTTGTTTGAGTAAAAACCGAATGACTAGAACCTAACTTAAATGAAAAACTAGTTTTTATCCTAAAACTCAACTTAATCCTAAAATAATTAATATTTTTAATTAAAAAATTTCATGTCAATAAAATTTATGATGATTTAAATGCAGAGATAGACTATTTCAACAACAAAGGTTAACAATGTTTAAACAAGATTAAAAATAGGTATTATATAAATTTGAAGAATTAAAATTAAAGACAAATTTTTGAGAGACTAAAATCAAATAGAGTCAATTTTTGGATGATCAAAAACATATTTAACCCAATATTTAATTATAAAACTTTAATTAATAATTTTAGAGTTTAGAAAGTTAAAAATAAAAATGATGAATTACATTATAATCAAAAAAAATATATGGTGTATTTGGATGAGAAATTTTACAAATTTAAGGAATTTTAAATTCTTAGTATTTGAATTACTTTAATTTCAATTTCTATCATTCTTAAAATATTTTGTTTGGATAAGTCAATTCAAATTTATCAAATTTTAAATTATTAGGTTGAATATGATAATTTGATTCCACCATATTAAAATTGATTTTAAAAATATATTTATATGTTGATATTTTTAAATTAAATTTTATAAAAATAAATATTAGTT